CTCCCCCTCCCCCTCTCGCCCAATTGCAATCTCCCAATTCTCATCTTGATTCCAGTGCGAATCCCAACCCCGATACCCCTCCCCCTCCCATGCAGCTCCAAGACGCCGAAAAGTGGCGCCGCCTGGCCGAGATGTCAGACGAGCTCGGGTTCAGACGCCAGGCCATCTACTGCTGGACAAAGGTGCGGCGCTCCTCCCCCCGACGGACCGGCAGGCCGCAGAAATCGCGGCGGCGGGACGGGAAAATTTTCGCGTGTGCCGTGTCGCGCCTGCCCTTTCGCTGAGCAGCCCTTTCCGGCTGCGGCCCCTTGCACGACGCCTGGCCCCGGGCCCCGCTAGCAATACCTGCCGCCAGCAGATGTGCCCACGCCCCCAGACATGCGCTCCCCACTGACCCTCGAGGCCCATCTGACTCCCACCCCACCTCCAATATGATCGCCCCTGCAGTACCTGAGAAAGTAAATTCCGCGATTCACGCATAGGGACACTTGCCATCGCCCCCCTGGCCCCCCCCCAACCCCCCGACACCTCTGACAAACCCATACCCACCCCAGCTGCCATCTGCCCGCGCCCTTAAGACAACCCCCACTGTCCTCCCCGTTCTGAATCGCCACCTTCAAACCAGTGACCCACCACCACCACTCAAATCACCGCAACCCACCACCGCACCCCCCCCAAACACCACCCCCTCAGTACCTGCGAAAGTGCCCGGGGGACGCGGAGGGGCGCCTGTGCCGGGCGCGCGCCATGGCGGACGCGGGGGAGGGCAAGAAGGCGGTGCAGGAGCTGCGGGCGCTGCACGACGCCATGCCGGGCCAGCCCCTGGTGGGTGGTTTGATATACCATAGTCGGGTCCAGGGTTTACGGGTTTAGGGTTTGAACCCTAGACCCTGTTTTACTAGCTGGATACCTAGAGCTGAGGCTTCTTCCGCTACAGGGGCGTTGGCCGCGATGTTGGACTGCGTTTGTCTTCTCCTTCGAGGGGCGGCGGCGCTTGGCGGGTGGTTTGATACCATAGTCGGGTCGTCAGTGCTGGAGCTTTTTCCGCCCCGGGGGCGCCGGCTGCGACGCTGGACTGTGTTTGCCGTTTTCTTTGGAGGCGGTCCATCAAGAGGGGGGCGGGTGCAGTGGTGTGGGGGTGCACTGCCGTCGGGCCTTGCAGGGGCGGCCGGTGGCGGGTCCTGTTTGTGTGTTTTTTTGAATGTTGATGGGTTTGTATTTCGTGCACGGTTGGTTGGTTGGCTAACTCGTGGGCGGGCTGCTTGGCCGGTTAGTCAGGGTGGGGCATGTTGTCGTGAGGCGAAGCGGGTCTGAGTCCAAAGGCACTCAAGACACGACCCACCCTCGACCGCGACCCAGGGACCCTCGAACACAACCCTAGCTCAGCTCTGCTTTGCTTTGCTACACGGCGCGCGTGGCCCTGAACGCTCCCCGCAGCGCCAGCGCCGCGCCGGACGCGGGCGCCAGCTGCACCGAGCGCCGGCCGCAGTCATCAAGTCCAGCTAGACTCCTCACCCCCCCCCCCCCCC